AAGCGCGGGGCGCGCGGTGACGGCGGCACCTCCGGGCTCTGCAGCTCCGCCTGGGCAGCAGCAGCGCCCGGCACCACACACACCGGCCTCACCATCGCCTCCTGTGCATGGACTGACACGGACCGGGGTTAAGAGTCGTGCTGTAAAAGTCACACAAAACAGCGAAAGAGACTGAGAGTGGTTATTGCCTGGCATAATGCCCTGTTCATCCTCAAAAATCCCGTAGGGATGGGACTGCTTGGAGAAGTGTCGCAAAAGGGGATGCTTTTGGCACGATAAATAAATAGATTTTAGTGCTTACATATCTAAAAATTGAAAACACATGTAAACAGTTTCTAGAGCATTCATCATACTGGGGTGATGTTCTACGGGATGTGGACAGCAAATTCCCAGCTTGCATTCGCGTATCAGGCACGAGCGTGTCTCCCTCTGCGTGCGGCGTGCAGTGTGTAGCCAGGGCCAGATCATCCAGTCAACAAGGCCCTTTCTATGAACCACCAGTTTTATGAGGAAAGTGAAGACAAGTAAAGCAAGTAAAAACTGCTAATATTGCAAGAACGTTACACATAGCTTGTAACTCTTGAAAATCATGGGTTGCAAGTGAACCATTTCAAGGGGAAAGGTGAATCCAATCCAAGGTACAATATACAATAGGGTAAATAATGTGGTGCAATATTTTCATTTCCAAGTTGTTTTTCTAGAGCTGCTTGCTTCTCACTAAGCATCCAAGTACAGTAGTTTTCCTATGAAGACTTAATTACATGTGACAATGTAATTCATCAAAGACTCCAGTGACTGGAATGAAAATACAGACCACCAGCGGACAGCAAAGGATGAAGTTCTCTGATGCCGAGCAGTTTACTTACACAGGTCACTCTCTGCAGCAGCTGAGCAGTTTCCTATACGTACAAAATGTCATGTTAAGATACAGCATATTTTTACAGCTCCTCTAATACACTTGTGGTCAAGTTATGCAGGAACCTTTGATGCAGCCAAACATATATGCCTGCTGTTTTCCGAGATGTCAACAACCGTTGTGAAAATCACAAACCTTATGGCTGGGGAGTTGTCCTGTGCTATACTCCTTCATATTACGCATTAATTTGAAAGCAGAAGTGGAGCGATCCAAGGCTTTTCTTAGTGGGAAAACAGTTACGGCTCTTGCAACATAAGTATTTTAGAATGAAAATATATCTAGCAACTCTAGGTAAAGCTCTGGTAACAAAGCTCTTTGCTTGCTGCAGTACTCCAAGCTCTTCAATTTCAAAATACAGAATGAGCAGCTTTCCAGAATCACAGCTATTCCCAAGTTTTTGCAGATCCCAGGATTTAGTCTCAAATGTCCTTTCTTTTAAACCATTCTGTGAAAATTTATTCCCACATCCAATCACATAGTCACCTGCCGCTTTCAGAGGAGGTCACTGTTACTTTAACCAGAAGTAACTTAGGTGCAAGTTTCTATCTAGAAAACAAGCAAACATGCCCAGAAGAGCAATAGTTGCATGTTCTGGATGTATAACCAGGGCCTGCGTATGCCTGTTCCTGTGCTCAGCTCCAATCATAGGATTGAGCATGACTGGAATGGACACGCACAACCTTCCTGAATATTTCTCTGACAAGACATACACATACCGGGAACGCTTGGATCTCTTGGCAGAAAGAGGTCATATCTGAAGAAACCTGGATGTGTGGTGGGGTGTCTCATCTGTCTGTCTGTCCACCCATCTATCTCTACCATAAAAAATATCCAGTGCTCAGACTGCAAGAGGAAGGGACTCTGGCTGCACTGTCAGCCCAACCTCTGTGCTGCCTTCAGCTGGCTCAAAATCTATTTTACTGTGTTGTACCACATACTGCTCTGCAAAGTGAAATCAGTATGTGGCCCTGGAAAAAACTCCAAGATGTTTGCTGTCAATTTATTGTTTGGAAAATGGTTAAGTCAGGGAGTGTCCTTTAACTAATAAACAAATAGATTTGCTTTAGTCATTTATTATATTAATTCCTGTTAGACAACAGGACAAATAATAATAATAAAAAAACAAGAAGAAGGTTAACTTTTCTATAAATAATCACAGAATTTTTCATTGGGTTGAATTTTGTGTGAACAACGTATTGTACATGAAGCAGCATAACATAAAATACCATCTCTGTAGAATTTTTGCCTTGAGCAATTTGGCATTTCTCCTCACCTTCTTTTTCTTGTTAATTGCTGTCTTAGATTCTTTGAGCCGCTGAATAATACTATACATTATTTTGCTGAATCAACATCCTGGCAAATGTGCTTTATCATCATGATAAAGCTCAGTGCTATAATCAGCAAATGTGTGTAATATCAACATCTGCAAACACATTTTTAGTTGACCTTTCTCTTTCCTCATCTCTCCAAGTGTAGCTCAATGAAGATCATGATTTTTGTCCTTGAAAGTCAATTTCTATCTTAGTTCTGATGTCCTCCACTACATTCTTTATGTTGGTGCAACAAAAAGGTATTAATGGCCATGCTATTTGTGGGAATTCTGAAACCTCTAAAGAAAGTAATTATTTGCTTTCATCTTCAAGCTTTACACAATAGTGTTCTCATAAAAGCTATAAAATCTTTTCTTTCAGTGCAAGAGTTTCTCTGTACTTGTCTGTGTCTTGATTTTGTACAGTTTGACATGCAAGTGCAAGTATCATCCAACACTTGATGTGGAAACTGGAGGATACTGAGTGTTAACAGTTTGGGGTATCCTTTTATATAAGTAGAAACATGACCAGACTGTACTGAAATTAATAGAAGATTATTTAAATTGCACATTAGCTTGGACGTCTAGTGACTTGTCCTGGGCCTACCACTACTGATTTCAGAGGATTATTTATAAGCAATTATTCAGCATTGCAAGAAAAGGAGAGAGAACCAACTCTGTAATTTACTCAGTCATGTCCCAGCAGCAATGACGGGGTCATCTGCTAATAAAAAGTTACCCTATTGTAAACAGTGAAAGTCTGTGATACAGGAAGCCACATCAACGCTATTGGGGCTTTCTTCTTTACTGCTATTAATATAAATGAATCTCCAAGATCTCCAAATGACTTTGGGAACATATTACTATGGTAACTATGATTCACAACAGCAGTTGCTTGATTTTCATTGCTGTTACATATACACGTTAAAGATAACAATGGCTGTTCTTTTAATTTTAATGTGCTTCTTTTAATTTTAATGTGTTAAACCTGAGGGGGGGAAAAAAAAAAAAAAGATGTCAACATTTCAAAAGCTACACACTTGATGTCAAATTAAGCCAATCTGTGGGCTAGGTCTCCTTAGTCTTTCATATTTTAAATTTCAGTGAAATGCATCAAAAGCGTTCTTTTTTAATGGTTTAGGTTACTTCAAAATACGTCTGGAGTCTGTACAGTATTCAAAATATTATACCTAAAAACAAATCAGACAACAGATATTTAATATTCTGAACCTTAACAATTTTAAAAGCTAACTTGCATTTTTTATTTTATACCCATGCCAGAGCTAATCAAGCAAGTATTCTGTGGTACCTTCACATGTTAATTTGTGTATATAATTTTACTGGAGCTGCAAATTAATACCTATATATACATACGTATTAAGCCAAATAAATAATGTTCTGTTTCCAAAACAAGCTGTAAGAGGCTGCATGTGAGTTCTACTGTACACACATAAGGAGTTCCACCACGATTTTCCAGTAATTCAGAAAATACATTTGAACAATATGAACACTTAGGATGTTTTTTAATTGTAATTGAAGCCAGTAAATATGAAGAAATTTCTTCCCATGAAACCCTTTACAGGACACATATTTAATTGGGGTTTCCGTTCCACTAGTTTTTCTTCTTCTTCAAGTGTCCCATACACTAATGCCTGAAAAAGCAATCATTTATCCTGGGATGCTGCGCTGCGCTTTGCCGCCCGGTTTGAGAGCGCTCTCTGGGACGGAGCCGCCTCCTGAACAACCTGCCTCTGGGTCAGCCGGCAGGGGAAGGGGGCTCCTCACGCTACCAAGAGCGCAGTAAGCACACTGATCTTCCTAACAATCTCGTGAGATAAGAATTTTATTCTATCTGTGCTTCAGAGATGAGGGAAATGAAACACAGCAAGATAAGTCAGATTGAAATCTCTATTATTTATAAAAGTAAAATATGTCTAGATATAAAAAAGGCATCAAAAGAATCAAGATCTAGTGTTATAGTTCTGCATGCTTATCCTCTTATTTGTCATATCAAAAAACATAAGCTAGAACCTGAAAATGTTCCAAGGAAACCTCAAGGATGAACAATGTATAGCTTTTCTACTAAGAGGGATTAAATAAACTAGGACTGCTCCGTTGGGGAAAAGATACCTTGGAAGAATGTGCTAAGGGTAAAATGCAGCAAGTGTCACGGAAAGTGTGGCTGCATATCAGTTTGCATCCTCTTTTCCAGGAAAGAACTGCAAGAACCAATACAAAAACTCAAAAGCGGCTCGTGGGTTCTACTCTCGATGCAAAAAATTAAACAAGGTAGCAGTTAATAGACCTGGAGAACTCCTTGCCCAAGGATGTTGTGGATATGCAGAGCTTAGACTGGTTCTAAGGAAAACTGGACAAGTTCACAGGAGAGAATCACTTTGAGACTAAGTACACAGACTATATCTGACTTGGGAGGGCTTTGCGTTGAAAACTATTACTTGGATATAAAGGGGCTGCAGAAATATTAGGGGAAAGTGTATGCCTGCCCATTTCTTACTTTTCCAGAGGCATCCAATTCATGGCAATGACATGGATTTTTGGTTTTACCCAATAGGCTTGTCCTTTAGCCCTCACCCTGTAAACAGCATTTCATATGATGGAGTAAAAGTAAGATACTTGCAATGGTTGGTTTTTCAACATGAAAAAAATGCAAATACTTGCATTGGCAGATCTACTCTTTGACAGTAGATCTGTAATTCTTTTTATAAAACATTGTATTTTTAAATGCTTGATCTTCAGTGTGAGCTAAAAGACTCACAGACTTGCTTTCATGTCAATTTACTGACGCAAAAAAAAATTTTGAACGTTTGCTGGCACTTGGATGAATCTTCTAAAGGATTTAAAAGTTCTCT